CCCGGGGATCCCCAAACCCCAGCGTCGTAAAAGTAAACAAAGGCTGCATTTCATCATCAGCTCTTTTTCCTTGCAGGGACCAACCTTTGGGAGAGGGACTGATCTCTTTCACTATCAGTATCGTCAGTGTTTACAGTGTAACGCAGTGCTACTACAGTGTCCCTGATCACTACCCACACCACCCAGGTCCCTAAATGATGCAGTCACAGAGATGGGATAGAGTTCAAGTCGATTCTTTAGCCCATCAAAACAGTTTTGCCAACCAGGTATCCACAACAGTTTTCTGACATTGCCAGGCCAGGGTCATGGGCCAGCCCAGTGTACACCATAAAACAATGATAGTGTTTCTAAATTTCCACCACACCAGGAGTAGGTGTCACCAACCCAGCCAGCAACTGTCACTGCTAATCCACTGGCCACAAGTGTCACCAGACCAGTATGAGCCAATCCAACCAGGGTTTTATATCTCTTTCCACAACCAAGCTTCAGTGGGTCACCAGAACAAGCTCAGCCAGGAATGTGTATTTCCTTATCCACCACTACACACTGTACAACAGTGTTGCATAGACCAGAATCAGAGTCCAGCAGCAGAGCCAATCAAACCCAGCAACATTGTCCTGATCACTTGCCAACCACACAGTGCCCAAGTGTCAGCAGAGTCAGTCAATCCAGCTAACAGATCCTTGTCACACCTCAGTACATATGTCACGGAGCCTGAACTGTGGTCGAGTAACCTCGATTGCTAGCCAGAAAACCCATTGTCCTCGAATGGCCAACCACTGCCAAACGTCCCAAAAAAAGTTCATAAGTGAGGATGTCTTTCAAATTACTGAGCATGATAGACAGATGGGGCGGGTAGATATGATCGGAACTTCTCAGATTTCGTGATTTGGATATATGAACCTGTAACAATCTGCAGATTTCCAGCGATGGCAACCTATGATTCCCTAATAATGAGGTCCAGGCATACTGAAACATCCTAGCAGAACTGCAACTGACCAGCAACCAGTACGAGCAGTGTATCAATATCTGGATGAGGTACCTAACACTTCTCACAGCAGTAGTGGCAGTGTTATAACATCAGCCCAGGGGCGGACTGACCATTTGGGAATACTCGCCGGACACCGCCCGAGGGGACCGGGGCCCGGGGTCTGTATTGGGGGCCCATTGAGATGCCCCTTGTACCTTTTTTACATAGGCTGTTATTGAGTTTTGGGCATGGGGGACACATGGGCACCGCCATGATCCCCTATTGCCCAGGGGGCCCCCATGAGTTATCCGTCCGCCCCCTTGCCCAACTTCAGCCACAAATAAAATAAGGTGCCACCAAACGACAAATTCCTGCCCCCACTCATTAGAGCGCCAGATCAGGGATTGTAGTGGATTGTCCAACCTCCATGTAAACCTCTTCCATCAATTGATATCAAGGGTTGTGCAATCCTTAAGATCTGGGGAAAGATCTGAACAGTAAACTGCAAATAAGAAACCAATGAATACGCTCCCAACCTTTGTACTCTATGTAAAGTCTGAAGCGTTTCAAAGGGAGCTCTTCTACCCTTCGAACACACGTTCAGACTTTTACATAGGGTCCTCTTCTTTTCGGTGGGTTTTGCCATGCCTACTTGGGCTATTGTGATGACCATTCTTGGATATTATATGCTTTTTAAATTTTGCTATGTTTGTGAGTATACATCTTATTTTAATAAATACCCCGCTTTTATAACGCTGAGGTAATGCCACTAGGTTGGTGTGCTGCGTTTTTCTATTTGTTATCTGCAGTACGGAAAAAATTTATGGCAAATTGCTCAGTTGTCCCAGAGACCTACCCCCTACTTCAGCAGTGCCTCTCATCCTCCACCATTCACATCCCCAACCAGGCATTCCCGATAGAAACAAGAAAAATGGATCCCTGTTTATATTTTTTAAATTGTTTTTCTTTAACAAAGTGTGGGGGCCCCCAGATGCGTGCCTCCCACCCCCCCCCCCCCCCCCTCCAGTGAAATGAGTAGGTGGTATACATAGTCCAACCTTTGAGGGACACATGTTATTTTTTTTCCACCAAACTTAGTTGTGAGTGTCAAACATTTCAGATAAGGGGCACTGCTGGTGTCACTGATGGTGGAGGTGCACCTGTATATGTATGAAAGAAGATGAGGAATATTGATGGAAAAGAATTTTTTATTGGAAGGATTATGAATAAGGAATGACGGAACTATTTCACCAGATTTTGGCATATTATTTTGTGGTAATTTTTTCACCAGTTTCAAGGTGATATTGATGAATCTTATTTAAAGTAACATTTACCATTGTGGTATGAGTATAGAAAAGCGCAACACTGTTATTATGATGGTTGTTGTTTATGTATGCAATTTTAATGTAAAGTTTCGTGTAGGTGTGGTCGCGATTTTTTGTTATTTACAGTATACAACACAATGGCCACTGCCCCCGTCATATAACTGGCCTTCACAAGCAAAGGAGGATAAAAAATAATAAAAAAAAAAAGGGCCCAACAATGGTTGGCAGGGCACGACGATGTCAAACAATAGAGAAAAGTTTACCGGCTCAACTTACCAACCAGCCTGCAAACAAACCCGTCTATTATCCAGTTAATGCATTAAAATCGTGGGTTTCAGATTTTAGCACACATTATGCCTAAACACGTGTATAGCGTCTCATGTGTCTGCATCATGTAACCCAGTTATTGCTTGTATATTCCTAACCACTACAAAATATGAGAGCCCCCAATAGTAGAGGCACATGTAATTTAATGTGAATAGACCGAGGGCAGGTGGAACCTTGAGGGAGCCCACCCCCCCCTCTAAGGTTACAGTGAGCCGCACCTGGACTCCCGCATGGCTGCAGCGATGGCAAAGCTACGGTGTCCAGCATCCACTACACCTACACAACCCAATTCAATGGGTACAATAAATGGCCACTGCCCCATGGTCTATAAATGGCTGTTTCAAGTTTTACCCCCTTTTTTCTATATTGTGTTGATTATGTCCAGTTATTATTTAACTGCTCGGTGGGTGTATACAGTAATTTATATGTAACTTTATCAGTTCCATGCCACCCCTATAAGAGAAATATTGCTACAGGTGCGCACGGTCGGCGTCACAATATTCCAAGTATATATACTGATAAAGGGTTCGCGTTGTCGCGGGCACTTTCGTGGCTCCTCAATTACTGTCAATCACTGGGTCCCCAGACCAGTGGTTATTTGCGCGGCACCAGTGATTGCCAAGTTATACTCCGAAAACAAGTGGAACCTGAGACCCTGTTTAATAAACAACACAGATCTCTCCCCTGTCAGCTCCCCTGCAGCTCTGCTTTGTTATGGAATCTCTTATACATTAGCAGCAATGCTTACAGTTGAAAACCACACCACACGAGCGCCCATTGTCAAAACTACAACACAGTTAAACCCATTTGATCATACCCAGGTATGAACCCCTTCCTGCCCAGTGTCAATTAGTACAGTGTCAGTGCTTTTTATTAGCACTGATCCACTGTATTTGGTGTCACTGGGAGATGTCGGTGACACCAAGTACAGTTCCCCCCCAGTGTCCCAGGAATGCCCGTCCGCACCATTGTATCACTTTAGAGATGTATACTGATCGCCGCCATTACTAGTAGAAAAAAATCCCATGTCCCTATACCGCCAATGTGTAGATGCTATACACGTTTCCCATATATTAGGAATTTTTTTTTCTAGCAACAGACATGGTAGCAGAACACTACATTTTTTGCCTCTAAATTTTTGAATGAAAAATTTGATTTTTGATTTGTGAGGGTCGGCACTGCTGTGGCGATCCAATCATCAGGGCACTGATGCATCAGAGCCCTGGATGATCGGTTGCCGATCCCCGATCTGTCTACTGCCGGTTCTCGGCAGTTCTTTCATCACGATATGGACAGCGTGAGGAAAGTGCAGCTGAGAACCGGCAATTGCATTTCCCTGTGATCACTGCGTGTCATTGGACAACCGCTGTCACTTGGTAAAAGGCCGGCTGTGATTGGCCTTTTACCACATCACGTGAATCAGCTGTGTCGTAGGACACAGCGATCACGGAGATCGCCGGTGCGCGCCCCCTGGGGCGCGCATTAGAGCGCGTTCTGGGAGGACAGTCATATGGGGTGGGGGTGGTGGTGACATCCACCCCAGAACTTGGCCGGCCGGTGTGTGCAGCTGTCACCTTCGGGAACTATCTGCGGTCGGCAAGTAGTTAATGTGCACACAGACGGCACTAAATGCCTGACTGGCCGACTTCTTTCCATTCCTTTCCTTTCATCTGTTTTTATTTTGGTACAATGACCTGTGCAGAGGCAGGAGCCAGACGTTATGGTTATCCTTCTTACCTTGTTTTATAGGTAACACTATTATATCAGACGTCATCGGGGAGACGTGGCTTCCTCATATGGAGAGGACAACTCTAACCTTTCAGATAAACCGATTCAGACCAAAGGAAATTCACAATAAATTTATACCGGAAAAAGACGTAATGACATGAAAAAACATCTCATCCACTCATCGTGTATCTGTGGACAGTCCATTCGGGTTGAGAGTAATAATACAACATATGCAGACAACGTTACGTACCCCCCCGGTGGAAATGGAAGTGGAGATGACAGAAGCAGAAGATGGAAACACAAATGTGATTGCAGAATTTCTCTAACTCACAAACGCAGATACAGATGATGGAGCCGTCCCTGACTGTGGAAGTCACTCACGCTGCCCCTGCCGAATGGCCCGTCTATAAATATTACATTCTGAATGTGATCAAGGTGAGATCTGATTACCTGCACCCTGAATAAAATGTGAGACATTTCTAGATGTACTGTATGAATGTGAAATCTATACTTTGTATATAATCCTATGCATGGAGACAGGAAACCCCCAGATATAGTCGCAAGTTTGCTTGTCACTGAGATTTTATTCAGCAAGACAGCAACACTAATGCAGTGTTTAGGTGGGAGGGCTTTGTACAGGCTGTCAGCGACCATCAAACCAACAAAGGTTTCTGCCATTGTTCAGCCGCTTAAGTCTAGGTGGCACACCTATGCATTTTATGCAGAAATGCGCAGTAGTACATTTAACATGATTTCCTATGGGACAGGTTCACATCTCCGCGTTTTACAGCCAGTGCATTTTTTGGAAAGGGTCAGGGACTTTTTTTTAAAGCAAAACCGCTGCGTTTTTGGTTCTATAGACTTAATGGAAATGCTGCAGAAAAAGCATGTAGTGCATTATTGATGTGTTTTGCATTTTATTCTGCCCTAAGCAACAAGTTGAAAAAAGAAAAAAAAATCGTTGGCAAAAATTGCAAAATGCACCACAAAAAGCACTGCAGTAAAACGGATCAACAACACAAATCGCACCGCCTAGGTGTGAACCGCGCCTTAAAGCGGTATTAAACCCAAAGCAAACATATTAATTATATTGCAGCTTACCAATTCTTAGATGTCATGGCTGCATTTGTTTTATTTTTTTTTAGGCTTTCTTTTCTGCAATTTTTCACTTGGTGATCCAGCCAGTAAGTCTTTTTTTTTCAACAGAATAAGCTGTCCTCAGCAGATATAGTGATATAAAAGGTAAGTACAAAACCATTGGCCACTGATAGAGGTGCTTACAACTGATCAGCTTTATTTCCCTTCATGTAAAACCTTTAGGCTGGGTTTTCACACACTGCCACGACTTGGGATCCTGTGACTTGTGAGACCCCAAGTCGCAATGACATGTGAAATCCCATGTTAGTCAATGAGAGCCGTCTTAATTAGCACGACTGAAGTCGCGCCCGACTTTTAAGAAAAGATTCCTGCACTACTTCAAGGCGACTTCTATCCGACTTGTGCCCATACATGACTTTAATGGAAGTCGCCTCCAAGCTGAATCCTCATCTATTATTGATGTGATTATGGATCCGACATTACAGGAAGATTACCCAGCATTCCCTGAAAGTTGCTTCAGAGTCGCTGGTGTGCAGTCCACTTTTCTTGCATTATCAAGGGGTGTTGACAGAGACCATCTGACTAGTTACAGTAGGTGGCTGAGGAGCAGGCCTGGACTGGGACATAAATTAGGCCTGAGCATTTTGGACTGAGCAGCACAAAGCCCCCGGGGACACCCTTTCCTCAGGGTTTGGTGGTGGAACGCCAGAGCCTGGTCACAAGAGCGACCTTTGCAACCCTGGTAGTTCCACTAGTGTCAGTAGGTTTTTTATTTAATTTTTTACAATATTATATTTAATTTTTTTACATTTTTTTTGTAGGAAAAAATGAAGGAGGGAAAGAAGGAAGGAGGGAAACAGGAGACAGAGAGAGAGAGAGAGAAAGAAAGAAGTATAAAAGGAGGGAAAAAAAAGGAAGGAGGGAAGGAAGGAATGAAAGAGAGGGAAAGAAGGAGGGGAAGGAAGAAAAGAAGGAGGGGGGAGCATATAGGAGCTCAAGGCATGCAGCCTGCAGGAGATGGATAGGAGTGGCGGCCGGGCGGAACATAGAGGAACAAAAGAAAATAATGCACGGTCCTCTATGTGCCACCCAGCTTCCTCTCCTGTCCAAGCGGCCCCAGCCTTCTGGGGCAAATGCCCTGGTGTGCCCTATGGCCAGTTCGGGCCTGCTGAGGAGTGGTCTCGGGATGTGACTGTATCCCAGGTACAGCTTTCTATAAGTATCAATATCTCTGAATACCTACAGGTTACAGTCTGCTATCATGCATATTATTGTCCGCATGAAATGAGCTTTGACATGGATATAAATATGGCATGTCTCGGATGTCTGCTTTACCCGAGGAGGGACAAGATGTTCCAGTGCTTCCTGATATCCTCTAATATATGAAGGTTTGGGCTTTAAAACACCACAAATTAACTGAGGGGAGGTAAATATGTCCTTGTCCTGGCTGTGCTAGGTATTACTTCATGAGTTATGAAATATACTGAAGTTTTAGAGTCTTGATTCAGAAGCCGCGCCGCCACGTCCCAGGAAATAAAGCCCACTTAGAGGGTTGCCAGGAGGTGGCATTAAGGGGTCAAAAGGCGTTTGGTTTTCTTTGTAAATGTCAGGGTTGCTGTATTAGGGAGTAAAGAAGAAGTTTGGGAAGGAAAAAAAAGGAGTGTGGGAGAGGAAAGTAATGGAGGGAGGGGAGAGGGTTACGATATATACATATATATATATATATATATATATATATATATATATATATATTTTTAAATATACTCCAAGATTTTTTTTAACATATAAAAAAAAGACATTTTAACATATAATTTTTTACATATATTTGTAAATGCGTTCCAAAAATGTAATTTGTATTTTTAAAGACATGGGCAGTATATTGAAATGTATTTTTAAAAATATTTATTTTTCATATTATTTTGTAATTAAAAACGCATTTCAACATGCATGTATGTATATATTTATTGAAATATATTGAATATGGCTGAAATTGTAGCATTTCAAATATATGTCAATATATTTGGGAAGAATAGTTTTAAAATATATTTCAAATATATTTTTCTTCCATGTGGGAATATTCATAGTGTCCTGACATTTGGTGGTATTTGTATCATCCTGTTATTTAGGGTGTGTTTGTACTGTCTTAACATTTAGGGGGGATTTGTTCTGTCCTGGCATTTTTTGGCCTCAAGAAATGAGATCGGCTGTCAGGACATCAGGATTGGATCGATTTTCAGATACAGGTGAAACTCAAAAAAATTAGAATATGGTGCAACAGTTCATTTATTCAGTGCAGCAAATTAAAAGGTGAAACTAATATATGAGACTCATTCCATGCAAAGCAAGATAGTTCAAGCCGTTGATTTGTCATTCATTGTGATGATTATGGCTTACAGCTCATGAAAAACCCCAAATCCACAATCTCAGAAAATGAGAATATATTCCATTGCAATCAATAAAACACGGATTGTACATAGAACAATATCGGGACTCTGAAAAGTAGAAGCTGCATATGTACTCAGTACTTGGTTGGGGCCCCTTTGCAGCAGATTACTGCCTCAATGCGGCGTGGCATGGAAGCTATCAGCCTGTGGGCACTGCTGAGGTGTTATGGAAGACCAGGATGCTTCAATAGTGGCCTTCAGCTCGTATCTGCATTGTTTGGTCCTATGTCTCTCATCTTTCTCTTGGCAATGCTCCATAGATTCTCTATGGGGTTCAGGTCAGGCGAGTTTGCTGGCCCAATCAAGCACAGTAATCCCCACGGTCATTGAACCAGGTTTTGGTACTTTTGGTAGTGTGGGCGGTGCCAAGTCCTGCTGGAAAATGAAAGTCAGCATCCCATAAAAGCTTGTCTGCGGAACGGAAGGTGCATGAAGTGCTCCAAAATCTCGCTGGTAGACGGCTGCGTTGACCTCCGGATATGGCTGTTACAACAGTTAATATTTATGTTAATGTAGATGGAGAATTCATATAGTTTATTCTTTGGTACCATTTCTCTATGGACATTTCTATAGTTAGTTTATGCTGCCATCCAGTGGTCTTATTTGGTAATGCATTTGTTTTATATTACCTCCCTGAGATCTATGACACAGTTCCTTTGTATTATGAAGGCTCTCCCTTCTTCTCTTGAGTTCAGCATCTCTCTGTGTCATGGAGGCAGCTAACAGTCCACATGTAATCAGGGACACATGTATTCTGCATAGTACGCTACAGAAAGTATCATCTTTTGACTGCATAATACTGGAAACCATTCATTCTGCTGTAGTCCTGTTGTCACATGTACACGAATAAAGCAACTTCTCTGGATGAACACAGTATTGGTGAGTTCAAGCTATCTGATAAGGATTGTCCACAGTGATTATATCTGCTTATACAGGCTAGCAGAGAGGGTCTCACAAGGGATAAATCGCTATCACAACAATCTGAGTCAGAATAGTCAAAAGATGCATAGAATCCCTACAGCCTGCTGTGTATATGTGTGCGCCTAATCTGCAATCAAGCTCAGTGCCATCCGCCATCTTGCAACGCACATGGCCGCACAAGCTTACTGCACTTCATGTGAATGTTGAAAACTGTTTCTCTGCATTGAACTGTGTTACCCCACCTGTCTAAGCTGCTGTTCGTCTTCTTAAAGAGACAGTACCAATTTTTGTTGCAGAACTGTAAAAAATGTCTAGAACAAGGCTCTGAACACTCCTTTATGACCGAAACCAACGGGCAGATACATCGATTCCTCTGAACCAGCAGGACGTATCAGGGAGCAGATTCTGCAAGACATTCCCGAACAGAGCGTTTAAAACCCAAGACGTACAATAAAACCGACACAGAAACTCAGGGAAAACTATGAAGCCACTAGAGATGAGTTCTCCAGTAATCTGTCAGACCTCTGGGACCGAACTTCACAATGCATGTCAGTTTTGTCACACTTTAATGATCAACCAGCTGAATTAGGAGACTCTATAAAATCGCCTATCTGCTGAGTATGAACGCTACCAGCGGCTGTGTCTGTAAAATACTCAGCTTTCTTGCAGGACTCTAATATAGAGGATTCTTCAGCAGAACTGACCAGGACTGATGCACTAAACCAACAATAGGGATCTTGCAGTGCAAAATTGCTATAGTTTAAATGCAGAACTCCGCATTACTCACCTCTGCAGGAGACCAGATCTCACAGATCCACCTCAACCAAGCGCACTGCACTTTTCTTCTAGATCCCCCCTCGCTCCAGAAGTTCGACGTTTAAGTGATAAGCTAATAGAGGCCCGCGCTGATGCTGAATCAAAAAAGCTCTTTTACCAGAAAGCAGCAGGAGATAGAAGCACGCAAGGTAGCTC